TATTATTTAATGGGGCATTATTGTTGTATAGCCTAGCTTCTAGGCCTACAGTATATCAATAATAATCTTATTGTTACAGGAATTGGTGTTGGCTCTGATGATATACTGTAGTGTTATAGCACATCACCTTTATTTGGACAGTGCATTTTTTAGACATTTATGCCTAGGCCTAGACAGTTTTTCATAGGACCAGGCCTATAGTATACTATTATTAGTAGGCCTAGGGGCCTAGGTCTATTATTATGAAAAAAAAAATGCACTAGCACAATTAATGTGACAAAGATGGCATGACAAGTCTAGGCTAAGTAGAAACCTACTATCTTTACCGTCAGCTGGATAAGGCTGCGTGCGAACTCACCTGCTGCGGGACTGGAGCAGTGTCCCGCACAGGAGTGCGCTACTGCTGCTGGGTAGACACTGACTGTGCTAATCCTAGGCATAGGTGTAGGCCTAATTATAAACACACAAGTCAAGTCATCGGACTGATATACGTTTATTAATTCAATTGAATTATTCCTCCATGATTGAATTGACGTTGACTAAACCGTCTCTCTGTAACTGCGTACGTAAACGATCACAAAAACTGCTTGTATCTAGGCTAGTCGCTCGATCGTCGGGACGATTTTTCGATCAGCTGCTCGCGATTTTTTTTCCGTACGAAACATTTACATGAAACTCCACTCGGGCCGTCTTGACTGAATCGACCCGAAAATCTCATATTGCAGAATTCAGGTCAAAAGGTCATCAACAACTTCTGATCTGAGAGAACGTCGCTGTCTAATTTTTTAAAATAAATTGATGTTACCATGCTAATACTAATGGGTCGTTTAAAATGACATAATAGGGACTTTTAGATTGTGTGGACGTGGACCTGGTTCACGTCGACTAGTCATGCGTGTCAACGTAGTCAACTATACTTGTTGACTACAAATGAAAACCTTTTAGATTTCAGTCGACATGTAGCGCCCGCTAGGCAACCTTATTAAGCAGCTGTGTCATGGCGAACCTTCATCGACTTCGCGAAATTGTCGTCTTTGCATATTCTACAGGTGTCTTGGACGATGAGGAATTCATGTTTTTATACAATACAAATAAACCAAAAAATACCGAATTCAGGTACCGAGATTATCAGAAATTTGATCTAGACAAGTACAACAATGATGAATGTAATGCATACTTCAGGGCGCATCCGGTGCGTCAACTGCGATGATGCAGATAGTTAACAGGCCTCCCCGGCCGGCTGCGCTCGCTGCGGTGCAAGTTTGCATTGCATGCACACTGGCGTAAGGACGCTCATGAACTTCCACAGCCTTTTTTGTGTTTACAAAGGCAGTAGAAATAACATAACTGCCTGTGCATTAAAAAGCAAATAATACAGATTAATTCAACACAAGTTAGAAACTTCCCCCAGACTGTCTCTGCCTCAGTTGGACGAACTATTAGTGAAGGCAGCGTTGCCACTATATTTTCATCTTCCATCTTTAAACTTCACAAGCGAGCACGGCGTCCTAGATTTAGGACGACGGGAAAAACGAGGTGAACACGTTCTCGATTTTGGTAGTGGACGAGGGAGACGACGTAACGCATGCGCAGTGCCTTAAAATTACCTCATCACGTAGCAGTCCACTATGTCGACGTGCAAATCTAAAAGTCCCTAATATTTGATTGAGCTGCACGAGTAAAAAAGTGTTATTTTTAATTTGAGATACATACTGTGGCAATTTTTATTTTTTAGTTAGGTTCTGGGTTTTGCATAATTACCTAGGCCTAACTACAAAAAATATACGCTTTCTGGGGAAAGCACAGAGAGTAAGGAAAAGCGCGTTTCTCGGGGCGTTTGATCAAATGAAACAGGGTGACAGTTATTTTCAAATTAAGAGAAGGGCTGAGAAGAGGCAGCTCTAAAATACTGGATGCCTTAAGACCTGCCAAAATGGCAGAGCACCAATGAATAAATGAGGCCTAAGCCTAGTTATTAATATCAGGCATAGTAATCTGCAGATTCTTGATTACAAGACTAGACCAGGTTAATTACATGTAATGCCTAAATGATTATTTATTATTATTATTATTATTGTTGTTATTATTATTATTATTATTAATTATTGTTATTATGTTACTAAAACCAACCTGTAGGCCTACCTTAAGGGGAACTTAGACAATCGAGGAATTAGAGAGCAATTAAAAAATCGACGTTAAGGGGAAATAACAGAAAAGATATTCCCCCTGGGCTAGTTATTAATTATAAGCCTAGTAAATAGTATATAATGCTTAGGTCAAGGTAATTAATGCTGAAATTATTATTATTATTATTGTTATTATTATTATTATTATTATTAATTATTATTATGTTACTAAAACCAACCTGTAGGCCTACCATAAGGGGAACTTAGACAATGGAGGAATTAGAGAATTAAAAAATCGACGTTAATGGGAAATAACAGAAAAGATATTCCCCCTATGCTTATTAATTATAGGCCTAGTAAATAGTATACAAGGCTTAGTTCAAGGTAATTAATGCTGAAATTATTATTATTATTATTGTTATTATTATTTATTATTATTATGTTACTAAAACCAACCTGTAGGCCTACCTTAAGGGGAACTTAGACAATGGAGGAATTAGAGAACAATTAAAAAATCGACGTTAAGGGAAATAACACAAAAGATATTCCATCTGGGCTAGTTATTATTTATAGGCCTAGTAAATAGTATGGTTCATTACAAGGCTTAGGTCAAGGTAATTAATGCTGAAATTATTATTATTATTATTTATTATTTAACATTAATTACATTACAAGGAACTCCATGCAAGGATTGGTCAAGTTCAATAACGCCGCCGAATGGTATATTTTATTTATTTAATAATATTTCTCTTATGCACTCTATTTTTTAATTCATGCTTTAATTTTTTTCCATTTTTTTTCTTCAAAATTTCAATCAACGTCTGTATGTAAAGCGTGACTGTTGGTGTCAGCCTAGGACCCTAGGCCTATACTTTGTAGTTAGGCTACCTGTAGGTAGTATACCTGTAGTTAGGCCCATAGTTTATGATCCTCTTTCTCTCTAGCCTCTGGTATTACTGTACCTATCAACACTTTATACTATAAAGGGGGTACTAGCTGTTGTTGTAGATATTATACTAACATTTAATAAACATCCTAGAAGGTCACAGTTAGTTACACACGAACATCCCATAAATCCGTAAGATATCATAGGCCTACCGTGTAAACATAGAAAGAGCAATAATAGTAAAACTCGAGCGTCACGACATTGCGAAGTGTCTGCTCTTGTTCCTCGTATCGAACTTAGTCGAGTCAATCCGAGATGGCCCGAAGTTTCATGCAAATGTTTCGTACGGAAAAAAAAAATCCCCAACTGCTCGCCAAAAATTAATTGACAGACTTGTGTTGAATATTAATGAGTTAGTTAGAAAATGCTACCAAGCTACTGAAAAAAGTGATCAGCCTCGTTTTCACCTGATTTTCCTGTCTCATCATATCATGTTTTGTTCTGTAATTATCCTTACATCTCAACATTTTGAATTTTTTAAGTATTTTTCCCGAACTCAGGAAAGGTTAAATAAGCAATAGCCGCACCCCCCCCCTTTAAATTTTTGTAGAAGATATCAATGTATTGGTGTCCATCGACATCAAGAACCCTCCAAGTCCAGTCTAGCTGCTTTGTGAAACAAACTCCAGTGATTTTCGCAATCTTTGCTGTCGGCAAATTTCTTGTCAATGCTCGGTTGTCTGTGAATGAGCTGCTCTCGACGAAAAGCCTGTCGACAGAACAGGTCAAAGTCGGTCGGAAAAAATATAATGATTTTACAGTTTCAAAACTTGGCGAATTGGCTGTCGGCGAAATGTCTTATTGGCGAAATATCCTGCGGGAAAAACACGTGCCGGTGAAATGTCAGTCAACGAATTTGCATTCAGAAACCTCTAGTCACGAAATGCGTACTCGGCAGCAACACTTAAGCATGTGAAACCAATGACCAGTGATAAACAAAGCGCTTCATAACCTAAAAGAATGTGTCTTAATAATATTCAGTAATATAAAGTACAAATTTCCCAAGGATTTTGCATGATTGGAACTATCTTCAAACGCGAAGTGTAGGGAGCTAAGTGTCAATCTTCCAACAACGATGGAAGTCGAATTCACTGATTTACCGAAATAAAATCATTTTTGTATTTGTTTTACTGTATCTCAATTAATACTAAAGAGCATAACCATCCGTCGACATTACCATTTCCATGTGAGCCTAGGTTAGAATTATGCAGTTTGCGTACGGTTCACGTAGGCAGAGGTGCGGTAGCCGATTTTGGTTAGTACCTGGGCCGCCAAGAGGGGAACTGTAACAGGAGAAAGGGTGTGGTCCCCTGTGTGGGGGGGGGGCTATAATTCTAGAGGAGCCCATTATTAGGGAGCACATGCCACAATTGAAGGCCCATGATAGTATTTATTATTTTTGAAAACATATTGCTACCTGCAATTTCTGTGGTTCCCCTCTGGTAAGCTTGGACCCCGGGATCTTCCCCTCGCCTTTCCCCTCCCACCTCTCGGTGGCATTGGTTAGTACTTTTCCCCACGTACGCGTAGACTTGGCACGGCTCGTGCAGTAAAGAAGTATATACCGCACCCCTTACCTGGTGGAATTGTTCAATTCAATTATGTTTGTTTTTATTACCGAATATATAGGCTATTCGATGTGTAGTAATCAACAAATAACTAATGATACAGAAAGCGACACAACGACGGGCGCAAAATGAATCATTTTCATTGACGATTTCCCAGCTGCCACCAAAAAATAGCGTCATGTCGTCAATCGCTTACACACAGAGCGATAGATTTGTTGTTCGACCGTAGTGATAAATATATTAAATATGAAATGGTCAGTTATATTACGGAAACTATAGCAATATTATATTAAATCACATATGAAATACTGCATGGTAAGGATTTGACGCACTAAATACTTGAATTTCTTCTAATTTAAGAGTACTCATTAGAATGGAAGCCCAACCAAAAAGATTATGTCACAGTGACAGGCTGGGGAAGATTGGGGTTTAACAGGGAGAAGGCAGCTAAGCTTCAGCAATTAGACCTTCCACTTGGAGTACATGACAAATGTAGAAAATCGTTAGGCTTAGCTGGAGATGAATTTACCCATCAAATGTTCTGTGCTGGAGGAGAGGCGGGCAAGGATTCATGCGCAGGAGATGCAGGAGGACCAGTGGTCCAAAAAAGAACAAACAATGGTGAAGAAAGGTACGAAGTTGTAGGAATAGTTAGTTGGGGAAAAGTAGATTGTGGCCAGGAGGGCGAATATGGGTTTTATACACACGTACCAAGGTTACTTGATTGGATTAAAAATACGACTGGACTGGAATAAACTAATACGCACTGCATGTTTAGGCCTACGTACCTAATTATATTGCATTAGGATATTGTAAAAGTTACAAGAACAGGACCATACAGATGATTGAACCATACAAATGATTGAACCATATTAATACTGTAGTACTGTACTGCATTATCATGCAATATGCCTATCGTATTTGAAACAGAGAATTGCTTTATTTAAATTAAGCGATAAGAGAAGCAAACTGGATCTACATTAAAATTAGCGTAATGATTAGTAATAAGGCTAAATCTAAAGCGAAAAGACGCCGAATATATTTCACTTATATGCCTATTTTGACCGATAGGAAATCCTGATTCGCATACAAAATACTTAACCATAATCCTCCATGCATAAAGCATAATGGAACTCTTTAAATAATAATTATTATTTATAAATATGGAAAATGTGTCTTAAAATATTCTGATCGTTGTTTTCATGACTTTTACAAATATTGCCTTTTATGCGTGTTTGACGTTTGTGAAAACTGGAATAAATCCGTACTGCGAATATGGTAAATGGCAATTTAGGCCAAATAAAAAAAAAAGACTGGTTTCTCGGGACCTAGCGCATCTTGGTAAAAGTGAGAGAGTAATAGATGTTTCCCATCGATCATCTTGGATTTGCCATCTCGGAGCAATGAAAAAGTGTCCTCACTTTACATATTTCAAAATATTATGACTAGAAACTACCTTTTTGTTTTACTTGGCCTTATATAACTTCATGGAACAACTGATCAGCAAAGATGTATCACTAGGAAATTACTGATTTCATATTGGATGTATTTTTTCTATTGAAGTATATAGTAACCTTTATATGGCATATCTAATTTGGTTATTCACCCCAAAATTATCAAAATCATTCTTGAATTAATTCATTTAGTTTAAATAAAAGAGGAAATTGTGCATATTCTCGATCTTATGTGTCTCTTGTTACGTAGTACTATATAAACCTTTTACATTCAAAGAGCGGGTACAAGTCTGAAATATCTGTTTATGACTATATTCACATCCGTGGCAAAACTTTTTTATACTTTGTTTCTCATTTTTTAAAGATCGTTATAGGAGGGCGGAACAAATAAATAGGCCTTTAAATTTTGTTCTCTTATTAGCAAATGGTTTCGGCAAAAACATCCAAACGGAGGAGAATTTTTTTTTTTATTGGTGTATGTAAACAGTAACATTGGGATGGTTAAACGCTTTAAATTTGTTTAGGAAGAAATATACATGTCTAGCTTTTTGAGATTTCAAGACAGCAGTGGGCGTAACAAAAATAAAGAAAAACTTGAATTTTATTCTGAAATTTCCATATTTTCATGGCAGCGGGTGTGCTAATTGGCAAAAAAATACAATGTCATTTTTATTTGAAACTATTATTGGCGGGTGGCAGGTTCGCTAAACAAGGTATGAAAGTCTTGCCTAACCTGAAGAACAGTATGCTCGAAAGTTTGTATGATATAATATAAATTGGCAGGATTTGTATTAAATTTATCTATGTATATCTGTATATACATAGCACTTATTATTATTTGTCTATTTTTATATACATATTGTATTGCCCACAGAAAACTAATTTGATTATATATGTGTATGTATGTAAACAAATGGATAAATAATAAGTGCTTTTGTTTATTATTGTTCAAACCTAATTTGAATATATGTGTATACCTGTCTCTTGTTTGTGTGAACTTGTAACTGATAAGACTACTCTCTAGTGTTGTCTAAAAGTTGGTCCACTTTTGCTGTTCAACTTGAATTTACATTTTAGCATTTGATTATAAATTCTTTATCTCAATCAAGATTCGGCCAAGCCGCCATCGTATTCCAGACAAACCATATTGCATTATAACACATTAAAACAGACAGACATTTTATATTCTACAGACAATCATAAGCAAGACAATTTACTTTATTGGTCTTTAAATACAAACAAAAATTTAGTATTCAGAAAAGCAGTTTCGATTTCATTTATTTCATAACAAAAGTGGCAACATCCTTTTTATGAAAATTATTTCCAAGTACAGGTGTTTGTTAAGCACGTAGGATGATGAATTGAACAACATAATTATCTTTACTATACAGTATTTAATTTATTTTTTTTTATTTAATTTGGTTTTTTTTTAAATTAATTTGATTAGTTTATGAATGGTGTTTTTTTACTATTAAAAGTATCCTTCAAGAATATGTCAATTAAAATCATTTAAGATACAGTAGTGTTTTTAATGGTTTTTAAAATAAAACAATGGGGATGGAGCTAGTTTTCACCGCTAGCAGTGTTACAAGCCCTTCCACCACTATTGTGCTGCTAATTCTCAGAATTGCATCAAGTGTCTACAGAAAGAAGTGAATCATGTGACTTCACTACTTTTACGTTAATTCGATCTTACACATTGATTTTCGATTTATTGAAAATCTTTATAATATATACATTATCTTTTCTATCTAATTGTATCCACATTTAACACACTGTAAACAAAGAAATAATGCATTTTCAGTATCTTTAAATAATAATTATTACATGGTTTAACATCGAAATTGCATTTTAATAGATCTGTGTTTTCTGTACCAAAAATATCAATTTTTAATTGAAAATTATTAAACTTTGGTTGGAATAAAAATCAACATTAAACAGTTAATTTTATCCAGTAATGCAATAATAATAATATTCCCTGCTATTCTCAATACAATTCATAATTATTACACTATAAAACAATAACATACAGTACACAGTACTAACACATGGTACCGTACAGTAGCTTTATAATGTATCCCATTAAATATGAGTAATATTTGCACAGAGAACATTTTGAAGGAGTTGCTTACAATCCATATACTCTCTACATATCCTTAACATTCTCAATGTTATCGTTTTTCTTCATATACTTAATCCCATTACATGGCAATGGGGATGAGATTGTTGGGACTATAGCCATACAAGGTACCAGCGTTTTCCAAAGACTTGAATAAAATTTTGCTTTCAGCCAACATGGTAATAATCTTTTATTTCATTTTCGGGAACATTTGAATTAAAGTCGTTTTTACTCAGAGAAAGCGACTAAGCACCGACTGAGGCTATCGGCACTGCCGCAGTGCGAAAAAAAAAGCTGCTGTTTTCTATCGGCACTGCCGCAGTGCCAAAAAGCTGCTGTTTTCTATCAGCACTGCCGTAGTGCCAAAACAATGCAGTTTTCTATCGGCACTGCCACTCGAAAAGCTGCTGTTTACTTAATCAAATGGATGTTTTTATCGATAGATTATAGTATCAATAAGTGGTTAGGTCTAGCCTAGCCTATATTATTGTTAACATTATATATGTTTTACAATTAATTATAGTTATTTCTAATTATTAAATATATACATATGTCTAGGCCTATACATAAAACAAAAAAATAAAACAAAAATTATAAATAAAATAGTAATAATAATAATAATGATAATATAATAATAATATAATAATAATAATAATAAAAGTGCTCGAATAATTCTATAATAAAGAATAATAATACTTTAATTCACCTTTTTACGATAGTTTGATTAATGAGATGAATCAGCATATATTAAATCAACTTGCGTCTATGCAAAACCTGTTTTTATAAATAAAGATGTTATCTATTTTATTCTGTTTTCGTAAATAATCTTAAAAATTATAAGTTAATTTTCTATGATAATTTTATCCACATAATTCATGTTTTCAATATTAGTATGGTTGATAAATAATATATAAAATAATAATAATAATAATAATAATAATGATGATAATAATAATGATGATAATAATAATAATAATAGTAATAATAATAATAGTAATAATAGTAATAATAATAATGAAGGTGCTCGAATAATGCTTTAATAAAGAATTAATAATACTTCAGTAGGCCTATTTGCGATAGTGTGATTAATGAGATATTTGTTGATTAATTTATAGAAATATATAATAGGTACCGTATATACCATTAATAATGAATCAGCATATTAAATCTATTTACGTCTATAAATGTAAAATCTGTTTTCTTTTTTTTTTTTTTTTTTTTTTTTTTTTTTCTTTTTTCTTCTTTTTTCAATAAAATATTACCTATTTTATTTTGTTAAAAAAAAAAATCTTATAAATTACATTATAAAGTTTCATTGTAAATTCTATGAGAATTTAATCCACATAATATAAATGTTTTCAATTATTTAAGCATTTAAACAATTCAGTGGGCCTACCGCTGGATGTAAATGTAGAATAAAACAAAACCAAAAAAACAAAAGCATCGCCAAAGTGTTTTGCAAATGCTAATACTATTGCGCAATTACCGCGTATTTTTGGTAAGCAGAGCTCACGATGGTCCACACGAGGTGACGAATATCCTTCGAAATGCCGTATAAATAAACTACTGCAATTATGTAAATAACTTTCACAAGAACTTTACGAATACTATAATCTTAATATCTTAAATTAGTTAATTACTAATTTATTAATAGATTGATATAAACATTGTGACCTATAATTACAATTTATTAATATATTTTAATTAATAAATACAAAAATCCTGCAACGAATTTTTTTAGGTCAGAAATTTGCATCAAAAAGTAGTAATTTTTCAATCGCGATCCA